CAACCCCCTCCACTTCACCTTGCCCACCCTCATCTACCAGATCCTTGTCGTCTTCGTCATCTATCAGCTGACGCACGCCGTCCTCCGCCTACTCGGCCAACCCCTCCACGTCTCTCAGATCGTGGTAGGTAATCAAAACCCGACATGATCTCCGCCTTATGTGCCGCGCGCGCGCATGAATTATTTGCATTTTCTTGTTGATGTGATGCAGGCGGGCATTATATTAGGCCCCAACGTCCTTAGCCGAAATAAGGCGTTCGGAATGTCAGTCGTAGCGCCGGAACACTATCAGGAGGTGGTCACCATATCCATCACTTCCTACATGTTGTTCTTCTTTGTGATCGGCGTCAAGGCAGACCTTGGTGTGATTCCCAAGGTTGGCAAGAAGGCTGTGGCCGTCGGTTTTCTATCGACCCTGCTTCCCATCGCATCTGTCTCCCTCGCCACCTTGTTCTTGAAGTCCAAGATCCCTCTCCGATACGAACAGTCTAACTTGCTCATCCTCTTGACCGACACATGGTGCATGACGTCGTATCCTGTCCTGTCGTGCCTCCTCAGCGAGCTCAACCTCCTCACCTCCAAGCTCGGCCGCCTCGCCATGTCGGCCACCCTCATCACCTCCATCTTGCACGCGTTCGCCAGCGTCATCCTGGTCACGTACCTACAGGGCGTCAACGTCGGTTCCCCGCTACGGGGGTTAACGATGCTAGCATCCTTCTTGGCCTTACTGGTACTCATCCTGTTCGTCATGAGGCCGATCGTGCTCTGGCTCATAAGACGGACGCCGGAGGGGGCACTTCTGGACCAGCCGAGCTTCGTGGCGGTGATATCCATGGCGCTGGCGTCCGGTATGTTGTGCCAGATGATCGGGTTCGACATCACAGCGGGGCCCTTCTTCTTCGGGCTGGTACTGCCGGGGGGACCTCCGCTGGGGGCCACGCTGGCGGAGCGCATGGACTGTTTGGTGTTGGGGATGCTGCTGCCGTTGGGCATGGCTTTTGCCGGAATGAGGGCGGACCTGACAGTATTGGCCGACGCCAGTAGCTGGTGGCTATTCGAAACGTATTTGTTCGTGATCGTACTGTCCAAGTTCGTGGGGGTGATCCTGCCATGCCTCTACTGCAGGATGTCGCCCCGGGAAACCATCTCCCTTGGGCTGATGCTGGCAACCAAGGGCATCAATGAAGTATATGCCGTCCTCGTGTGGGCGGAGCACTTCGTGCGTACGCAGACTCCAAGCGCAAGCATGCATGCATGCACGTTGATTAGGGGCGGAAAACACTTGCCTCATCTTTCTTCTACGATTTAGTGATTTCTGTTTAGTTTTTTTTGTTGATTAAAGACTTCTCCTCACAACGTACATATAGGTCACTAAATTCTAAGATCACGACTCTAAATGCACCACCACCATTTTAATACTATTATTCTCAATCCCATCGCCATCACACAAGTCATCCAACCCCCATTCGCACTGCCTACGCTAACCAGAGTCTGTTTTTGTTGATGCATGTCACCGCAGCTCGTGGGACCGGATGAACTCAGCGTCATCGTCGTCACCATTATCATCTTGGGCAGCTCCAGCGCCCCCCTGATCAGGTACCTGTACCGCCCGGAGGATCGCTACGTGGCTTACAAGCGCCGCACTCTCGAGCACGCCAAGCCCGGCGACGAGCTCCGCGTCCTTGCATGTATCCACCTTCAGGACAACGTCAAACCCATCATCTCCCTCCTCGAGGCCGCCGGCCCCTCCCGCGACTCCCCCATCTGCGCCTACCTCATCCATCTCATCCAGCTCGTCGGCCGGACCGATACCGTCCTACTCCCCCACAAGTGGCAAAAGAATTTCTCCTCCTCAGCCACTGCCCTCTCAGAGACCGACCACATTGTCAATGCCTTCCGGCTGTTCGAGCGGCAATACTCGAGCGGCGTGTCGGTCCTCCCTTACTTCTGCATCTCCCCTTACAGCACCATGCACGACGATATCTGCTCCCTCGCCCTCGACAAGAAGGCCACCCTCATCATCCTCCCCTTCCACAAGAACGTTCTTGCCGACGGAAGCATCAGCTTCGTCAGCCCTCCCATCCAGGCCGTCAACGTCAACGTGCTCCGTTACGCGCCCTGCTCCGTCGGCATCCTCGTCGACAACGGGCTATCCGACCGCTGGGCGTTGCTTCACCGCGTGGCGGTCTACTTCCTGGGCGGTGCCGACGACCGGGAGGCGCTGGCCTGCGGCGTGCGCATGACGAAACACGCGGCCGTCGAGCTGACGGTGGTGCGGTTCCTCCCCCCCAAGGAGTTGCGGGAGGTTGGGCCGGAGGAAAGGATGGACGACAAGATGGTGGAGAAGTTCCAGCAGGAGAAGCTGGACGGGAAGCGGGTGGTGTACAGGGAGGAGGTGGTGAAGGACGGGGAAGGGACGGTGGCAGTGATCCGCGAGACGAGCCCCGAGTTCAGCCTGTTGATCGTGGGACGGAGGGAGGGGTCGGATTCGCGGTTGACGGCTGGGATGTTGTTGTGGAGAGAGTACCCGGAGCTGGGGGTCATCGGGGACCTGCTGGCGTCGACCAACTTCAGCGGGCGGGTGTCTACGCTGGTGATTCAGAAACAGGTAAGGGTGATGGGAGCGGCGGCGCAAGCCGCGGAGAGCCCCAAGGGCGATTCAACTGTGATCCAGGTAGAACCGGAAGGATAATTCGCAACCCGATGAGAAATAAACTTAGATTGATCTCTCATTATAGCTTAAGCATCGGCAGGGGGCCGCTGCTTCTGCTGTGAATGATTTATATCAGTGAGGTGGTAGCAGGTGGAGCAAGGCGATGGTGGATGAACGAAGGCTTCGCTGCTTCACGTTGTTTTGTGTTCTGTACTGAGGCCTCACAAATATTTTAGAGCTCAAACTAGCTAATTTTGATGCGTAACATCAAGTGATGCATCTTGTCTCCCTCGAGGGAGAACATCTGTCCTCTCTGTACGTTTTATGGATCACGATATGTTTTCTGTTTGAGTTTTGTTTTGTACGCAGTTTGATGTTATGAAATGAATTTAGTTTCTTGAAGAATCAATTGTTCATTGTTCTTATGGAATCACCTTTGGACTTGAAACTGATGATAGTCGACCTATTTGATTTTTTTTTAAAGGAAATATGTTACGAAATGGATTTAAGAAACTACAGCAAAGTATACGAACAACATTGATAGTCCATGTGTTTGGATTTTGGATTCCTCTTACATATCTCTGCCGTTTACGTTCATTAAATAACTTCATATTTGTAATTACTGATCATAGTGGTTATTGAATTTGAAAGAAATTAAAAATTTTAAACAGAATCTAAAATAAAATAAAAATATTATTAACTTGTAAAAATGTATATTATTTTTTAAGAATATTAATATATCATTTACAAATGATAAGTGATAAAAGAAGGTAAAGAACATTGTGTAATATGATATTCATGCTATTTTTACATATTTTAAAAACATACATACTAAACTCAAGTCTAAGAGAGAATTTCATAAATTGTAAGAGAGACTTTTAATTGAAAACTTGTTTCCACACTAGCCTTGCAAAGTTTATAAAGCTTATTTATCATTATAAATTTTTTTATACCCTTTGACCATTAACATTCATTAAAAAAATAGGTCATGGATTACTTAAGCCCTTATTATTTACTCATATTTAAAATAATTCATACATTTTAAAAACATAGCATACAAGTCTCTTTTGTAAAATGTGAATTAACATGTGTTAGAGACTGCATTGTATAATATAATGATATATATAATTTAAGTTTTAAAAATATTTAATAATTATTTTAGCTCGTATGGTGTTTGCTATGAATCACTTAAGCCCATATGATTTATTCATATCTAAAATAACTCATATATTTTAAAAAACATAGCATATAAGTCCCTCTTGTCAAGTCCAAGTTAATATACATTAAAGTCTATATCATGTTGACTCATAATAAATTATTAATATAATGATATATATAATTTAAGTTTAAAAAAGGATGAAAGTCCAACTTGTCACGAAGATATCTAAGAGGAGGAAGAGAGACTAGGAGACCATTTAATACATAATGTCAAGCTGGTCGAAGCATATACACTTGAGGCAGGATCGAAAGTTCATGAGCTCGTCTTCAGCACCGGAGAGGTAACCTTGACCTTTAGAAAAGAAGAAATCGAAGTATTTAAGGCTAGGCAATAGCGGTTCGGTAGTACTAGCAGTGATCGCTTCCACAATGACGTCTTCTTCCACCATTAATGGTGATCTTATTTTTTAATTTAAATTATATATATCATAATATTAATGATTTATTATGAGTTAGTATACAACGTAAACGGTCTCTAACATTTATTAATTTACACTTGATGAAAGGACTTATATATTATGTTTTATAAAATATATATATTATTTTATACATAAATAAACTACAAAGTGATCTATTATTAAAATCAAATGGGTTAAATTGAATTTTAATTTTTTTAACTTAAATTATATGTATTATTATATTAATAATTTATCATCAATCAATATATCTTATAAGTGGACTCTAATTAATTATACGGGAGAAAATTATGATAATTTTTAAAAATATAAAGATTATTTTGAGAATGAATAAACTATAAAAATTAAAATAGATTTTAACCCAAAAAAAAGTTATGCAAATTAATTATAATAGTGCTACGTCATTCTACTGTTATACTTTTTTTTTTCCATCAGCGAAAAATAGTATTAGCAGTACGTTTTCATACCCGTTACGCGGATTCCTGCAGCGTACTGCAAAGGGACCCACTAATACGGCCAGCCACAAGACCGGTGGATAAGCGGGCTAAGCGTCATTGCGTCAGAAGAGTATGCATTGGGAAACCATGGGTGATGGGGTGTGGGGTTCTGGATGATTCCGCCACCGCCTTTGCCGCGCGATGAACAGATTTTGACATCCCGATCTCTTTCCTTGCGGTCATAAAGCCGAAGAAAGCGAAAGATGGCACGCCCATAAAGCAAGGTGGCTTTCTCTCGTTCCTTTTTCTTCATCGATAGTGGTTTCGGGAGAACTAAACCGATCGGAACGGCGTCGTTTCGTTCGTTTCACGGGCATTTGTTCGGTACGACTGCCTGCCCTGGCAGTAAACTTGATTTTGAGCTATGGGATTTTACTCCGTGCATTGTCTCGGTTTGCAAGGAAGGGCTTCCAAGAGCTCACTGTTTTGATTCCCTAATGCTGCGATTCTTTTAGAGCTTCTGTTGGCTCCCTTTTGCTGATTTGTTTTTGCTTTTGCATGTGCTTATGTTGGAGAATGATGTTGTTCGTTTTATGTAGGACATAGGGGGCTTTTTGCAAGTCATTCAATCGATCTTTTTCGTGTGATTGCTGTTTCGTGATCACGAAAAGTAACTTTTTTTTCTTTCTGAAAACTACGAAACCGTCGCCAAGTTTTGCTTTTGGACGTGTTCTGAATGACTAATATCTGTTTTTTTGAGATGTATGTAATGTATTTTTCTTATTTGCAGGAGTTGCACTGCGGAAATGCAGAGGAGAAGACTTGATGTAGATGATTTCTTTGGTATCGGTGACTCATTTGCCGGGCTTAGTGTCCTCGGAAGACCGGGGAGCTTGAGGTCTGGCTTCTTTGGCCGTAGGAGTACTTTCGATGACGCTTTCTTCAGTCGGTCATTTGGGGACGGACCAAGCTTCGTTCCCGGTGGTAGCAGGTTTGCTCATCAAGTAAGCCCTTTTAGAGAGAGGAGCGATCCCGGATTTCTGGATCAGCCTCCCCCAGCAAGTAAATCAACACGGCCAATCATTGAGGAGCTATCTTCTGATGGTGAAGACCAGGGACAGAACGCGGATAAGGTGAAGGGGAAGAGCGTCCGAAGACCTTCTAGGTCGAGCAAACAGAAACAACCCTATGTTCAGGATCCCGATGAAGCAGCAGAAGGTATTTTTCTCTATTAGTGTCCTGCTGCGTTAATTGAACCTCCTTTTGGCATCTTAAGTTGGTATAGCAGTCGATGGAACAGCTTCTCACTTCATTCTGTATACACAGGGAACAAAAGCAGACACAATCACCTCAGGAATGACTTCAGCCGTTCAAAAACAATGCTGCCACAGGGTGGTAGCTATGCTTTTCGCAGCTTATCTGTGACTTATGGTGGTCCAAACGGAGCGTATTATGCTTCATCAACAGTCAGGAGAACCGGTGGTGATGGAGTAAGTAAATCATGTTTTCAATGTAAATCTGCAGACTTTTTGAGTTGCAGTCAGTGCGTGGTAGTGGAGGCTTTGGTTTAGTTGTTCATAAGCCAAACTCACCCCTGCCTAATTCTTTGACAGGTAATTGCGGAAGAGAGCAAGGAAGCTGATGCTACTACTGGTAAAGCGATTCACAGGATATCCCGTGGAATCGGTCATAAAGTGTGTATTCTTACAATTCTTGTTGTGCTCCTGATCGTGTGTTGTTTGTTCAAAGAAGTGCGTATGTGATCATTATCAGTAAACTCAGTGGTGGTATTGGTTTTGCAGGGCTACACGGTAACAAGAAAACTGAGTTTGGATGGGAGGGTGGACATGTTGCAGACATTCCATAACCTCGATGAAGGTTCATCCAGCACCACTGGGTGATTGTTTTCTCTCTTCTGTTTTGTATGTTACATCTTATTCGCAATTTGCTTTTCCTCAGATGAACTACCAGGCTTTGAGGAAGCTTGGCAGGAGAGTGCTCAACACAACTTGCCTCGATGGAACTCTGGACATGGTAGGCTTAACGCTAGTATGTACATGCTCATGGATTACTTTTGAGACTATCATATTTGTTACTGTATGTCATTTGTGCCATCTGTTAAGCTTGATATTGGAAGTTTAGTCTCGGAACAAGGAATTAGCAAAGTGTTATTCATGATTGTCATTGCGTGGTTATAGTCCTCGACGTGAATTTCCACTGTTTATTCCATGGATCATGATTGTGAAAATAAATGCTAGGACGGTTCATTCTATGAATGTTCATTATGTTTCTGGACCCTCATTCTGGTTCCCTTTACCCCTTTCGTACTTAAGACATCAAGCTTTCTCTGTATTTGAAGTGGTAAATCTTTGTTATTATCATCTTTTGTGGCGTTGTACAGAATCTTTTCATTGTACAATGATGTTCTCCTTTAGAGGGTCTACCTTGATTTTTCCTAGCGGCAGTCTTTCTTGAATCTTACATCTCTTAACATTCTCTTTGTGCAATCAGATGCCCTGTCACGAAATTTGGATTTGAACAAGCTATGGTCGGTCTAAGTGACTTCTCTCTCCGTTGTTTTTTCTTTAACTGAACATGATTTGCTCGAATAAACTGTGAAATGCTTTAGATTTTCTTCTCTAGTAAATGTTAGTGGCACACCCAAGTAATATGCGATGGTAGCTTGGCTTTCATGTGATTTAATAACCACAAGAAGTTGAGGTGTCTTCCAGATTATGTGATCATGACATTATTCTCTTTTTCATTCCTTTCTTTTTGTAATTTCTTCTTTTGTATTGATCGTATTATTGCCATTTTATTGGAAAGAATAGAAGATAAAAAAATTATTGAAGAAACTTTAACTTGAATACATTAACATGTCCCTCTCCTATTTATATAGATTAGAGGAAGGATTTTTCTCAATAGAATAGAGGATTTTCTTCTAGAGAGATTTTCTCATATAGTTGAAGAAATTTTATCTGTTATCACATTTAACTTTTTTGTTTGTGTCATTGAATCCTCTCGACTGCTGTTTAGGCAGTGGGAAGAGCAGCAGTGCCATGGCATGGACACTTCCATCGACCGAGCGACCAGTCAGGTCATCAGCAAGCACCAACTTTCCTAGAATTCGAAGCTCAGTTTGGTAAGGTAATATTATTAACACTGAGATCTATGTTTAGTTGGAGTCGAAGCTCTATGTTTTCGCCTTATAAGACTACACTTTATGGATGTCTCCTCTGCAAACCAAGCTGTGAAGAGTTCAATAGGCTGTCGTGTAACCGTGTGTAAGAATGAGAACGGGACGTGGCGGAGAAAGCTGACAATTTTGTACCCTTGATCTCCTGTTGTGAACTTGATGTGTGTTGCGAACTTGTTATCATTATGTGATAGCAAAAGGCTATACGTGACTGAGTGGGATTTGTTTGGGTGAAATCAAGCACATGAAATTTGAACGAATGTTTCTTCTTCAACTGTTGAACACAAGACTGATGTGGACAGACAAGTGCAGAACATTGGTCTATTATCATGCCTTGTGGTGTTGCTCAAGCAGACAGAAATAACTGCTGGCATCATAAGTATCACTTCAGATTCTTTAATCCGTTGGCAATGCCGACGTTATATCAAATCAGCCATTAAACTGAGTTGTTCACGAACTAGCTCGATGGAGTACGGACTTGTCGAGTTGAATTATTATCTAAAATGTTTAAACTTAGATCAATCATAATAGATTTATCTTAATACATCCGTATACATTTGGTTCGGAATTTTATTCCGTACTTATTCCCGATAAGATTCCTTTATAGGTAAGTTACTCTAGTTATTTCGAGCTAAATATTTTAGAATTGGAGTATGAGAGTGAGAGTGAGAGAGAGAGAGAAGCTAAATATTTTAGAATTGGAGTATGAGAGTGAGAGTGATGAGAGAGAGAGAGAGAGAGAGAGAGAGAGGGGCTTCAAAATTGTTTTATTTGAAGACTTCAATCAATGTTGGGATTGTTACACATCTTTTTCTTGGTCCTTTTGAGATTGTCTTGAACATATAGTGTAAATGGATGTACTTGTAACGTTTGAAGAATGATAGAGTATTTATTGCATAATGTTAGATCATTGGCTATGTAATGTTAGATGTCAATGATGTGATGCTTCAAAATTGTTTTATTTGAAGACTTCAATCATGTGATGCTGAACCATCAATCACGTGGTGATAAGATGTCAGGGTGTCTATTGTATGACGCTAGACGGTTGATCATATAATAAATATATTTTATTTTTGTTATTATCCCAATATCACTACTAAGTACAAGTTTTTTTTATACTAAATTAATAATTGATCATTAATTTGTTGCAATTGTTAATGATTATAGATCCATTTAATCTTTGAAATTTGAATTATATCATATCCTACTCGATATAACATCTTAAACATGCTTATATGTGCTCCCAAAATAGACTTCAAGGGTTCAACAAGAATGTTCGGTGAGCACATACAATTTTGTTCCCTTAAGGTGGATCCTGAGAGGTGCATATGATAGATTTTGATGTTTATAAGATATAAGTTCCCCTCCTCTCAATAAATATGAAACTAAATGTGCTTACCACTTCTTCTTTTTTTACTAAGAATTCAATTCTATTAATATATAACAATTTAATAGACGTATTTTTGGAGTCCACGTCCATAAGGGGAAAAAAGATCATGCTAATTGGTTTTTATCTTATGCTGCTCTATTGAAAAATTACATAGGAATATTTTTTTTCTAATAAATTTTGATTTTATCCTTGTGGTCAAATCATTATTTTTTCTGAATCGATTAACTAAATCGATCAACCCAATTCCCCCTCTTTTGTCTCTTCTTCTTTCTTTTCCTCCTCTTCTTTATCTTCTTGGGACATCGATGATGAATAAATTACTATTCAAATTATATTCAAAGGAGTTTCTTTTTAATAAAGATCAAGAGTATATTTTTTGAAATAATTATTTAAAACAACCAATGTACAACAAGCTTCATAAGAATGATCTAAAATATACTCAAAACTTACATCAATCAAATAAATGACTTGTTTGATAAGTAAAGTTAATCAAATAAATCTCAACCCGTCGTTTGGATGTATTATTAGTAATAGAATAGGGCGTACGATGATGAGTGATAACTTAGTAAGCATATACTTTTTATAGTTTTATTTATGTAATATTTTAAAATCATAGACATAAAATATTTAATTATAATCCTTAAATGATTCTATTTTAAGTTAAAATTTTGAATACATTTAGTCTTGAGTTCTTATAATATTTTATTACGAAATAAAATGGTTTAGCTATAAATAATTATTTGATTGGCTACCACCATTATGTCATGGACTATGGATTGAGCAGTTGGTGATTTAATGTTGAAACTTAGATGAACTTACAGGCTGAGTATAGTTTATCTTGGAGAAAATTTTATCTTTTTTTTTTTTTATACAAATCATAGTTTATATTAATAATTATTGGTGTCTTAAATAGTAATTTTCTTCGTTTATGCTATAGATAGCGTGATATATCTCCCAACTCCTTAAAACTTTTAATCATCGAGGACAGTGATCATTTTTTGTCACATTGGTTTGTTCTCATCAGTGGTTCGGAAAAGAATTGGGTGATATCATTTGCACTCCATAAAATTTTGAAATTTATGTTGGTTAGATCAAAATTGGTCGAACTTGATCCGATCAAATGACACTATGTTCGGTCTCACCCTACCGAATTAGTTTCCGGCGGCACGGGGACAGCTCGATGTCGTCGGTCAACTGTTGCAATTTGAACTCCATCGTGAAACAAGGAACGTCATCAGATTGATCGGGCCATTTCTCCACCACCTGTTAGCCTTTCCTCCTCTCACTCTCTCGATCGTTGCCCTTCTCCTTCCCTGCTTCTCTCTGCACATCTCTCTCTCCCTCCCTCCCTTCCTGTATCTATCCCGGTGTCTCCGTGCCCTGAGGAAGATGGCCTTGCCCAATGACGAGGAACTATTCTTGGGTGGCACGAATAGCGGGGCGAGGCAAATCTTGTGCTACCGTGCCGTCATGACCACCTCCACCGGCTTCTGGGTCGACGACAACCCCCTCAACTTCTCCTTACCCACCCTCATCTACCAGATCACCGTCATCTTCGTCTTGTTCCGGCTTACCCACGTCGTCCTCCGCCGACTCAGCCAACCCGTCGTCATCTCTCAGATCGTGGTAGTTAATTAAGCCGTCATGATACCCATGCTTTCCACCTTAATCGATATGTATGGTCGTAATCAATCGATGGGTGTTCTCTGGTTGACATGATGCAGGCGGGCATTATATTAAGCGGTGATGTCCTTGGCCGAAATCAGAGGTTCGCGTATCTAATCTTTCCCCCCTACGGCTTTGAGCAGATCAACGTGGCGGCCATCTTGGCCTCCATGCTGTTCTTCTTCGTCGTCGGCGTGAAGGCAGACCTCGGGTTGATGCTTAAGGCTGGCAAGAAGGCGGCGGCCATTGCCCTCCTCGGCACCTTACTTCCCGCCGTCTCCGTCTACCTCACGGCGAAAGCCCTGAGGCACAAGATCCCTCACCATTTCATGGAGACGCAAGTGCTCCTAGCTTTGACAGACAAATGGAGCATCACGTCTTTTGCGGTCCTCTCGTGCCTCCTCAGCGAGCTCAACCTCCTCAGCTCCAAGCTCGGCCGCCTCGCCCTGTCGGCCACCCTCATCTCGGACTTCGTTCATCTGTTCCTGGCCGCCTTCGTCAAAACGTACTCGCTAAGCGTGAAGCTCCACTCCGCGTGGAAGGGACTCTCGGCCCTACTATGCTTCTTCTGCGTGGTGGCACTCATTCTGTTCGTCTTGAGGCCGATCGTTCTCTGGCTCATAAGACGGACGCCGGAGGGGGCACTTCTGGACGAGGCGAGCTTCGTGGCAGTGCTTACCATGGCGCTGGCGTGCGGGGTGCTGACGGCGATCACCGGGTTCGACGTCAGCACGGGGCCCTTCTTCTTCGGGCTGGTGCTGCCGGGGGGAGCACCGCTGGGGGCGACCATGGTGCAGCGCATGGACGGGCTGGTGATGGGGATATTACTGCCGACGAACATTGTCATGGCCGGGATGGCGACGAGGATATCCGTTTTGGCCGGCGCCCGCCACTGGGGGCTGTTCGAAATGTTTCTGTTGATCTGCGTGGTGACCAAGTTCGTGGGGGTGACGCTGCCGTGCTTCTACAGCAGGATGGCGCACCGAGACACCCTCTCCCTGGGGCTCATGATGATCACCAAGGGCATTTTCGAAGTATGTGCCGCGATCCGGTGGCACGAGGACAAGGTGCGTCCGAACACCATTCCCATTCATCACACTTCCCTTTCGAGGACACCATGAATGCGATCGACGGTGCAACCGCTAACCGGAATCAGTCCTGTTGATGCGTGTGAAAGCAGGTCGTCGATAATACGGACTACACCATGGTCATCATCACCATTCTGGTGTTCGGCGGCGGCACCGCCCCCCTGATCAAGTACCTGTACCACCCGGAGGATCGGTTCGTGGCCTACAAGCGCCGCACTGTTCAGCACGTCAGGCCCGGCGACGAGCTCCGCCTCCTTGCATGCGTCCATGAGCAGGACAACGTCAACCCGGTCCTCGCGCTTCTGGAGGCGACCGGCCCCTCTCCTGACTCGCCCATCTGCACCTACCTCCTCCACCTCGTCCAGCTCGTCGGCCGCGCCGATGCTGTCTTCCATCTCCACAGGCGCCACCGCAAGCCTTATGCCTCGGTCGCTACGCTCTCGGAGTCGGACCACATCGTCAATGCCTTCCAGCTGTTCGAGCGTCAGCACCCGGACGGCTTTTCGGTCCTCCCTTACGTCTGCATCTCCCCATACAACACCATGCACAACGACATCTGCTCCCTCGCCCTCGACAAGAAGGCCGCGCTCGTCATTCTCCCCTTCCACAAGAAGGTTAACGCTGACGGCAGCATCAACTCTGCGAGCACGGGCATCCATGCCGTCAACGTGAACGTCCTCCAGCACGCGCCCTGCTCCGTTGGGATCCTCGTCGACAACGGGCTCTCCAGCGGCGGGCAGCTACTAGAACGCGTGGCAATCTACTTTCTGGGCGGCGCCGATGACCGAGAGGCGCTGGCATACGGCGTGCGCATGGCGGATCATGCGGCCATCGGGCTGACGGTGATTCGCTTGCTTCCGCTCGAGGAAGGGCAAGAGGAAGGGCGGGAGGAGAGGATGGACGACAGGATGTTGAAGCAGTTCCAGCACAATAAGGTGGACGGAAACCGGGTGGTGTACAGGGAGGAGGTGGTGAAGGACGGGGAGGGGACGGTGGACGTGATCCACGAGACGAGCCCGGAGTTCAGCCTACTGGTCGTGGGGCGGAGAGCAGGGAAGGAGTCGCCGCTGACGATAGGGATGTCGATGTGGAGCGAGTACCCCGAGCTGGGAGTCATTGGCGACTTGCTGGCGTCGACAGACTTCGGCAGCCGAGCGTCGACGCTGGTGGTGCAGCAACAGGTGTGGGTGGTGGGAGAAGCGGCGCTGGCCACAGAGAGCCGCAAGAGCGCTGCAACTGGGAGCCAGGTGGTACCGGAGGCCGCAGTGTACACGCAATCTGATGGGAAATGAAATAGTTAGCTCAGTTTACGGGTGGCTCAAGTATTTGACTCGGGATTCAAGATCGAATTTGTGGTCACAGGTTGAACCCATAAAACATTCCAGCTGGAATAAGAATTGATTAGATTGGTCCAATCAGTAATCGAACCAATTAGGAATTGGTTTATATAGGATTTCGGTGT